CGGATCACCTCCACCTTGTGTCCGCTCTCCCTTTGTGCTCTCGGCATCCACTCCTTAAGAAAAGCCGCTGCCACCTCCCCCTTAGTCTTGACAGGGTACACCCACACCGCACGTGTGTGGTCGTCCACAATTGTCAAGAAGTAGCGGCTGCCCGAGAGAGAAAGGGCCCTCGTGGGGCCCACCACATCCATGTGTACTAGTGCAAGTGGTGCCTTGGCTGGTCTTGTGCTGCTGCTGAAGGGAAACTTCGTGAATTTGGTCTCAAGGCAGGTAGGGCAGCTCCCAATCTCCTTTGCTCCCCCCTTCACCTCCAGCCCCTTCAAGCACCCATCCTTAACCAACTTCTGCAGCATAGGAATGTTCACATGGCACAGCCTCTCATGCCACGTCTCCCAATCAGCCTCACCACTCCCAGATGAAGCCTTTGCCCATGCAGCTGTCGCATCCACACCAGCAAGCACCCCACCATGTGGCTGTTGTGGCTGCTGCACCTTCTTGACTGCATCCATGGCCGCAACAGTTGGTGCAGACTCCTCTCCTCCCGCACTTGCTTTAGCCGCTCCCGCTGCCTTTGCTGTTGCTGGTGGTTTCCCCTTCCAAGGGATGATGGGCAGCTGTCACAGGTCCTTGATGCAGCTGCTCTTCTCCTCCAAGTTCCACAGCAGCATCTTCCCAAGCTTTGCACGGCAGCTGGTTGGACCGAAGGTAACTTCAGCCTTGCTCTTCTGCAGCCGGCGCACAGAAAGAAGGTTAGCGGACAAACCTTCAACCAGCAGCACATTCCCAAGCCCCACAAGCTCTCCATTGGCTCCCATCACCTTAGCATTCCCAACACCAATCACAGGGAGCAAAGCACCTGAAGCGGCAGCCACAAACTTTATCTTCCCAGGGGGCTTCACCTCATCAAGCAAATCTGCCCGTGGAGTCATGTGACTCGTGCAACCTGAATCACCCAGTGAGTGAGGGGGTGCATCACAACCTTCCCAACTGAACCCACATCACCCCCACTCCCTTGCACGTCCTCAACCATGAGGAACATACCAGGGTCGGCTTTACCTTGTGCACCATCACCTTGTGCACCTGAACCTTGCACAGCACCACCTCGTGCACGTTCACCACTTGGCGGCTTCATGCCTGGAGGCGCCCATCCTTCAGGCCGGCTGAAACACTTGAACCATGGGTGTCCAACCTTTTTGCAGTACCAGCACGCACCCTCCATTCGGGTGCTCCCCCTGCCACCAGAGCTCCCATGCCCCTCATTGTAGTCACCTCGGCCTCTCCCTCTGCCAAAGCCTCTCCCACGGCCTCGGCCTCTCCCTCCCCCTCTTCCTCTGCTGCCTCCTGCAGCTCCATACCCCTCAGCAGTTTTATCCCAGTGGTTAGTGGCTCGGATTCTGACATGGTAACAGAGTGAAGGTCTCGGGTTCGAATCCCATTGTGTGCACTTCGGGCATCCCGTGCGGGGGGGTGTCAGAGGTGTCAGAATGTGATGTTCGTGTAGCCTGCAGTGGGGTACTCTATAGCGAGTATAGCCCGAACTAGGGTTTGCTATATGTATTCAACTGCATGCTAGTGAAAACCTCCTCTTTCCTATTTCTCGTTTTGCCTAGCCTTTTCCAGATGCTATTAGAGCAGGTCGACCCTCCTAGGTCGATCCTGTGAATGGGCCTGCCACCAAATGCTTCCGCTATTGTCCTGCCTATCGCGCGCCCCGGGCGCGCGATGTGTTCTGCTTGCCGCGCGCTCGGGTGCACGGCGCATTTTTCATCCCGCCGCGTGCCTGCCCGCCGTGCGCCACGAGGCGCGCGGCCGTTTTCTGCCCCGTCGATCCACGCATCGCCCCCTGTCGTCCGTCGCAGCACCCTCGGGGACCCGCGCGTCGCCCTCCGTCGCCCGTAGCAGCCCGCAAGGCCTGCGCCAGGCCCGCGCGTCGCCCCCCGTCGCCCGTAGCGGCCCGCAAGGCCTGCGCGAGGCCCGCGCACGGCTCAGGTAGCCCGCGCGTGGTTCGTCCGGCCTGCGCCAGGCCCATGAAGGGTTACAGGCTCGTTCTCCTGGGGGGTTATGGGCGCACTGACCCGCTACTTAACAAGCCCTTTTATCCCAGTGGTTAGTGGCTGGGATTCTGACACAAGTGCAGCAGTTCGCGAAGGACTCTACCTCACGGATCTCCTACAGGAAATGAAGACGGCGATGAATGGGTCATTCAAGCTACACTGCGACAACCAGAGCGCGATCTTGATCGCGAACAAACCCGGCTTCGTCAACCGCATGAAACACATCGCCCTGCGTTACTTCTTTGTCAAAGTCAAAGATGAAATCGACAAAGTGAAGGTCCAACCCACCTATTGCCTAATTGGCGAAATGGCAACAGATTTCCTGAGGAAGAAGCTGCCACGTCAGAAGTTCCAGTTCTGCGCTCACTTGTGCAGAGTCGTCCGAAAAAGCCACCTGGCGCACCTCCAAGAATGAAAGGGAGTGTTGGGGTATGAAGAGAATGAGTTTAGCATTCCCGTAGGTGCTCTTGTATCGCACCCGTCACTATTGAAGCAGCACCTGCAGCAATATTGGATCAGCCTGTAAGAAGGGCAGGAAGGTCAACAGTTGCCAAAGGGAAGGGCAGGAAGGTCAACAGTTGCAAAAGGTCGACTGTCGCGACTGTTGACCATCTAGACCGATTGACTCACCATCGAGGAATGGCAAAGGCGTATCCATCTGTACGGTTACACGCAGCGACTCGGTAACAAGAAGAAAAGCAATAGTTAGAGTCAATGTAGAACTGCTAGTAAAACAGTTAGAATAAGGGAATGTACCCTTTAGATTACCGTACATGCCTAGCTAGATCTATTTATTTTTGCGTGTTTTATCTTTTAATCAACTTTGTCATTTACATCCACTATGTACAAGTTTCCTACCACAAGTCTTCCGCTGCCGAAATCTCTTAAGCAATCCTATCCTATCCAAGGTCGTTACTCTAGCAGACCCCCGGGTCGTTAAATTGGGGGGGGGGGGGGGGGGGGGGGGTGTGAAAATTGAACGAGAATGAAGGAGTGGTTTCACTAGCAGCAATGAGGATACATATAGCAAACCCCAGATAGGTTGTACTCGCTATAGAGCACCCCACTACAGGCTAGAGAATAACATTCTGACAGGGGGGTGTAATGTTATGTGCACTTTCGTAATAGACCCCCCGTTTTGTAACGAATCCGGATTAGACCCCCCTCACTGTATACACATCGATTTTTAGCGAGACTGTAGGAAGCGACAGATTGCTGTAGCGAAAATTGACTACATAATTTGATGCGACTGCAGAATTTGACTGCGCGCGTGCCTCGCGTCAGGTGTGGTCAAGTTTTCTCTGACGCAACATTGCAATTCTCACTTCTAGTGCTGGAACACTAATATCTTTAATGACTTCGAATTTTTAAATGCACATAGGATTAGAAGACGTTCCCAGAGTTTCCCGACAAGAAAGTCTGCCCACGCGGCTCGCAATTTTGCAAATTTCGAGAAATTTGCCAATATGCGGCTCGAAGTTCGACTACCAAGTTTCCCATCAAATTCGTCGTGCGAGTGTTCATCCACACCCGTATACGATCTCATCTGACGGCCCATGACGCTTACCAAAATGGGGAACGACCCCACCCGCGATTTTGTGTCATTGCCCGAAGTTCAGCTGCCCAGTTTTTTAGTCAACGCCATTCAATAGCAGAAATGGTTCAGTGCGCCTCATAGTGTTTTGTTTTCAAATTTGCGGGCACCGTTTTATGCGGGAGTCCGAAATCCCAACCAAATCGCTGAGTCCATCCGATTGTCAGACGTGAAGGCCTATTGGGTGCCACTAGATTATTTACGTGAGTGCTGGTCAGAAGGTCGCAATTTGGTCGTATCGTATTCTCCCGGATAAAACACCCCCCCGTAATTGTACACCCTCGGGTAGCTTATACGGGGTGGGTGTTATATCCGACCCCATTAGTACTATACCCCCCTTTTGGGGTGATTCTCTTTAACACCCCCCTTTTCTTATAGATTCATATTATAGCTGTTATCGAGTCCGATTCCTTACGGGAGGATATCGCGAAAATCACTCCCTAGAAGATGTACTTTCACTTAGAATCAGCCGAGATATCCCCCCTCCCACAATCTCGCTGTTGCCACACTGGTGAATCCCAAAATCTCGCTGTCGCCACGCTGACGAATCTTCCACTGCAAGTGGTCCAAGAGGTGAAGTGGCCCAAGTGGCCCACAATATCCTCGGACTCGGTTTTGCGGCATTGATTTTGAAGTGAAGTCAGACCCCTGATTTTGTTTCACATCTTTTTTGTTTTATAAAAAATATACCATATCATAAGACCCGGGTATTATATAGGATTTTCCTGAGGAGAAACCCCCCCCCCCCCCCATTTTTTTCCAGTGGTTTTCATAATACCCTAGGGTGTTTTATCCGGGAGAATACGGTAACTGCTCGCAAGGACGCGGTGTCCTGAGTGGGGCAGTACCCCACTCTGACCACCATCCCGACAATTTTTGAGCCTGATGGGCAAACTTCGGTGTCGGGAAACTGTGGGAATGCCATCTTAGACCCCGTGTCTTTCAGATTTACACCCACTTATTAGCCCCACCCACTTTTTTTTCCGGGATAGGATTAGACCCCCGGGTTTATTACTCGGGTAGATACGGTACTGTGTGTGGAAGTTTTATAGCTCGTGGAGCAGGAAGTGCACAAATCCACGCACTATAGCCTCCCCCACCACCCCTCCAGCCACATATCCACTCCAGAAGAGCGGCTTATAGTAACACGTATAATGCCAGTTTTTGTACGGGCAATTGTCCAGATACCGGGGCGATTCAATCCTCCAGCCATAAAAAACCGGTAGTGAGGACACCAAAAGTGTTGGATCCTTCCCAGCCGCCACATCGCGCATGACCCTATTGAGCTCCATGATGGCCAGGTTGGTGGATGGGCCCATCGACAGGTTGGTGTATCGTTGGCAGTGGTCGCCTCAACTGGGCACGGGCATTGCTGTGCGCAGCACCAACGGCCTGCCGCTTTGGGTGGTGAACTGCAACCCCCAGTTGAGAAACTCTGGCAGGTGGGCGCGCATGGCTTTGATTGGCTCCGCGTAGAACCTGTCCGACCTGGCGCCCGTGTTTAGCATGGTTACGTCAGCCGTAGGGGAGACGACGGATGGGAATGTGTCGGTGCAGTTGCTGTTCTTTCCTCTGTCACTGCCAAGATGATTGAAAAAGGGGGAGGGGGGTGAAGGAAAGGGTGAGAGGAGACGGTGTTTGAAACTGGTGTAAATGCCTCTTCGTCTGCTGGGGTAGCTGCGAAAGGGTTTTGAGGAAAGGTAGGGTGGAAATGGAAGCAGGAGGCAGAAGGGGAGGGGAGAAGGGAGAATGGCAAGGCTGTTAGCATCGCCTGGTGGCATTGCAGTCTATGACCTGCCTCCAGGATGTCTGACGTCAGCTGTGGCGAGCTGGTGGTCGGGGACGTGGTGTTGGGATGGATGCTGTGCGGTGAAGAGGAGAAGGAAAAGGATTGAGCAAGGGGATCTGAAGGGGCCGAGAGTAGGGGCAAACGGTTAGGTAGAGTAGAGAGATGGAATCACTTCACTCGGATGCCATTGCTCCATCGTCACACTCATCCACAATCTCCCTCACCCACAACCTCCCTCACCCACAGCCACACTCCCCCACCATCACACTCACCCACAGCCAAACTCCCCGTTGCAGTAAATCCCATCAATCCAATAGAAGTTGATCTTGAACGTGTCCTTGTTTGCGTTGCTGGACTGGAGGGTGTGGTTGGGGCGCTCATAATCCTGCAGGAAGTGCATGTGGCCTGCTAAGAGCCTCTGGCGTGAGTCACCCACGATGTTGACCTCCCGAATGCCCTTGCGCCGTAGATCTGAGATGCAATGGCTGGGAGGCGATAATGGGGGCGCACAGGGGAAGAAGGTCCAGCTGGAGGGGAGCCGGTGGAGGGGAGTGGGGTGGAGGGGAGGGGGTGGAGGGGAGGGGATGGAGAGGAGATGAGGAACAGAGATTGCAGGAGCAAGGATGGCCTCGTGCGCACGGGAGGGGACGGGATGATGCAGGCATTGAGCCCCAGGCATTTGAAGCACGTGGAGCCCCAGGCATTGCAAGTCATACAAGTAGAGTATAAGTCGATTCGAGCATCACTGGGTGACCATGGGTGAGATGGGGTGCCAGCGGGTGAGATGGGGTGCCAGCGGGTGAGATGGGGTGCCAGCGGGTGAGATGGAATCTCTCACGAGTAATTGCCACTGCTGTCCTTCTTCCAGCGACCAGGGATGGATCCGGGTGTGCAGGGCGTGGCTAGGTTGCTGGGGGAGATGGTATCTGAGACAGTGGTATTTGAGGAGGTGATAGCGGACGTCATGGCGTCGAAACCCCCTACCCCCATGTCAGCCGCACCAGGCGTGCTTGCAGCTGCAGGAACGTTCCCAGAAGCTGACTGCTCTGACCAGCCAATAAAGAGGTTCCACGTGGCAAGGTCATGGCGGAATGTGGAGTTGAAATGGGCGGCAAAGTCACGAGAGAAGTTGAGATTGGAACAACCTACGGCGAGAGTGGCACTGGAATGGGGAGAGCAGGGAGGTAAGAAGAGTGCGGAGGGTGGAGAGAGTGAAATGGTGATTGTGGCGGGGTAAGAGTGAGGGTGAGTGGGAGAGGGTGCATGGGAATGGTTGAGTGAGGGGCAAGGTGGGAAAAAGCGATTGTTGAAAAAAATACTGTTTTTCTTAGATGGTATTTTACAGACCTTTGAGAAGAAAATGCGACGTTTCTTTGTTAGGCAAGAAAAAAAAACAAAAGACTTAATTTTGAAGATGATGTTCTCTCCAAAAACAAACTCCTCACAGCATCTCCTGGTGCATCAGCAGCACTTCTAACAGCCCCTCATTCTACTTCGAAATATTGCCCATGGTACAGCAGCAGATAAAAGAAGATAGTTTTCACCCAAATGCCCTTTTTATACATTTCTTATCGGTTTTTACGATCTTTTTACGATACCGTCTGTTGCGGTAAAATTCTGAAAAAAAAAAACAAAAAACAAAAAACAAAAAAAACAACAAAAAAACACCAGTTCTTGCACCTAGTTGAGGGGTGAGTGGGAAAGGTTGTCTGAAAGGGTGTGAGTTTGAAGGTGAGTGAGAGAGGATGAGTGGAGAGGGTGAGTGAGAGAGGGCGAGTGAGAGAGGGCGAGTGAGAGAGGGTGAGTGAGAGAGAGTGAGTGAGAGAGGGTGAGTGAGAGAGGGTGAGTGAGAGAGGATGAGTGAGAGAGGGTGAGAGAGAGAGGGTGAGTGAGAGAGGGTGAGTGAGAGAGGGTGAGTGAGAGAGGGTGAGTGAGAGAGGGTGAGTGAGAGAGGGTGAGTGAGATAGGGTGAGTGAGAGAGGGTGAGTGAGAGAGGGTGAGTGAGATAGGGTGAGTGAGAGAGGGTGAGTGAGAGAGGGTGAGTGAGAGAGGGTGAGTGAGATAGGGTGAGTGAGAGAGGGTGAGTGAGAGAGGGTGAGTGAGATAGGGTGAGTGAGAGAGGGTGAGTGAGAGAGGGTGAGTGAGAGAAGGTGGAGGCCATTGATGGAGAGGCAAAACGATGCGAGTATCACACCCCATTTGTTATTGGCACAGCAGCAAAGGCGGAGGCGAAGGGCATAGAGGTGAGGTGAGTGGGGAGAGCTCTCTAACGGCTATGCAGGTGGTTTTTGACAATTAAAAAAAACCACATGCAACAACAATAGGGAGGTGAAGGGGGAGAGATCTCTAACGGCTATTGCATGGGTCCTCATGTGCAGCAAAAAAAATAAAAACACGGGAGATTGACCTGCGTGAAGCGTACCTATAATCCCCCACGTCCCAGAGGCGGTAGGAGATGAAGAAGTGCGAGCAAGCAGGGGGGTCGACACACTGCACGTCCCCGTTGCCCGATGCCGGGCCCTCCAGAATAAGAGTCAGGTCGTTCTTCAGCCAAGTGCTGTTATGGCTCGTTCTGCGGTTGCTGCTGCTGTTGGCCTCCCCTTGGCTGCTGTTGTTGGCGTTGATGCCCCTGCCACTCTCATCGCTTGCCAAGGGCACGAACCAGTGAGCAGGGGGAGTCACCCACACGTGTATGCTGCACTGCTCCCCCTGCACGCATCCACTGCACCCCCTGCCGCCCACCACCACTCCCCCTCCTCCTGCTCCTTCTGCTTCTGGGGCTGCTGCTGCTGCTGCTGCTGCTCCTCCTCCTCCTCCTGGTGTGGTGCGGCTGACCAGGGCATCTGGTTGTATATTGTGAAGCAAATACAGGGTGAGGGTTGGGGGAATATTGCTTCACATTATACAAGCTTCACATAATACAAGCTTCACGTTATACAAGCTTCACGTTATATACAAGCTTCACATTATACAAGCTTCACATTATACAAGCTTCACATTAGACAAGCTTCACATTATACAAGCTTCACAGTATACAAGCTACAAGCTTCACGGTATACAAGATACAAGATTCACATTATACAAGCTTCACATCATACAAGCTTCACATTGTACAAGCTTCACAGTGTACAAGCTTCACATTATACAAGCTTCACATTATACAAGATTCACATTATACAAGCTTCAAATCATACGATTCACATTATACACGCTTCACATTATACAAGCTTCATATTTTACAAGCTTCACATTATAGAAGCTTCACGTTATACACGCTTCAGGGTGCGTTTCTATCCCGTGTCAGACACGAAGTTGAGGTTGGGAAGACCCAAAGGGACTCGGAATGCTGGCAAATTTAGGTTCGGAAGACACAAACCGAGTCACTTTGTGTCTTCCGAAGCTTTGACCTGATGTCTGACACGGGATAGAAACGCACCCTCAGACTAAACACGCTTCACGTTATACACGCCGCACATCGAGCGCCCAGACGGCGGCGGGAGCTACTGCCTGTAGATCCACGGGGACTCGCGTCAAAACTCAAGTCACTTGGAAATGATTAAGACCTGCCTTTGGGAATCCCCGAAAGCAACTCAACTCTATTGACGTATTGAGATGGAAAGGGTTTTTTTTTTAAGAACTATCAGAAGCAGCTTGACTCGCCTGAAAAAGGCACTTCACCAGAATGTTGCGAGTTACTTTTTTCCCGAGTTAGTTTTCGGCCCTCGAAAAGGTACTTTTTGAACCCGACAAATTTCGGATGGAACAATGTTTTCCTGCAAAATACCCCACACTCATGCAACACTCGCGGCTGGCCCAGAGGTAGGAGGGAAGTCTCTTTTAGGTGGACTCGGATGGCACAGAGGGAGGAAGAGCGGGTGGGGGAAGCAGCGGAGGGAGCGCGGGAGAGTACCTGACGACCAGCAGACGTGGTGTTGAGGCGCACCGGCGGATGGCCTCTGTGCGCCGCCTGCACCGCTAGTAGCGCTTCTGCCAACAAGACACCACATGGAGTAGGAGGATCGCAAGATCATGAGCATCGCGGGAAGACAGTTTTCAATCTGCATCACAAAAATGCGTGTGTCTGAAAATCATCTGACATTCGCGGCGGCCTATCGTACGTTTGACAATCGTTTGAAAAACGTACACGGAAACTCTAAAAAACGTTTGCCTTCGGCGGAATGTTTTCCAGGCACATTCTGAATGTTTGCTCCTAACTCTTTCTTGCTTGTGTGCAGGATTCGGGTTCCGGGCCTAACAGATAGTTGAGCATGTCTTTTCGCGTAGGAGCAGACAGCGAGAAATTTGTTTCTCTCCAAGAATTCCTCGTTTAGGCTTTTGTGTACCATTTGTTACATTCATGACATTTGCACTTATGTTTCTTTGAATATGATGATGTAATTTTCTCTATGAAAATAGTGTTTCCAAGATTCATGTTTAACCATTTGAAGGAAAATTTACACCTACTATATTCAAACAAGGCCTAAAAAGAACATAGTCAGGGAACAATTTCATGTTTACAAAGTCACAATGCGTCAAAGTTCTCTACGTTCGCTAGACCTCACCAAACGAATCTATTAAGAAGGCTCACTTCATCGTCCTCACATGAGGGAACAATGTCTACGAGACTAAGAATGCAGTCGACATCAATCACTGCAAAATCATCCTCGCCCTCTGTGGGTAGAAGGCGCTTGCATCCCGTTGACGGGCATAGTCGCTTGTCCTCGGTGTAATACTCCACGTATGCTCCGCGCCTCAGCTCCCCATCTTTGTTGTAGTGAAACAGGACAAGACAACGGCCGTACCAGGGGGACCCCTTCCCTGCAGGGTTGATTGCAACAGATGAGAAGTTCTTCTCACCTGGGCTAGCCTTGACAAACTGCCCCCTTGACGTCCATTCCATCTTGTCGTGGGGCGGAATCGCAAGTGCCGTGTGCACCTGAAACCACTAGCATGAACCAAGAAAATGTGAAAGCAGCGAAAGAGGCGGTGGAGAGCATAGCGAAAGGGGAAAATTGGCCAAGGGCTGAAGTGGGTGGAAAAGCATTTTGGAGAGGAGGAAGGGGGGCTGAAGTGGGTGGAAAGCATTTTGGAGAGGGGGAAGGGGGGCTGGAGTGGGTGGAAAGCATGCAGGAGAGGGAGAAAGGGGGCTGGAGTGGGTGGAAAAGCATTTTGGAGAGGGGGAAGGGGGGCTGGAGTGGGTGGAAAGCATTTTGGAGAGGGGGAAGGGGGGCTGGAGTGGGTGGAAAGCATTTTGGAGAGGGGGAAGGGGGGCTGGAGTGGGTGGAAAAGCATTTTGGAGAGGGGGAAGGGGGTCTGGAGTGGGTGGAAAGCATTTTGGAGAGGGGGAAGGGGGGCTGGAGTGGGTGGAAAGCATGCAGGAGAGGGGGAACGGGGGCTGGAGTGGGTGGAAAGCATGCAAGAGAGGGGGAAGGGGGGCTAGAGTGGGTGGATAGCATGCAGGAGAGGGGGAAGGGGGGCTGGAGTGAGTGGAAAACATGCAGGAGAGGGGGAAGGGGGGCTAGAGTGGGTGGAAAGCATGCAGGAGAGGGGGAAGGGGGGCTGGAGTGGGTGGAAAGCATGCAGGAGAGGGGGTAGGGGGGCTGGAGAGGGTGGAAAGCATGCAGGAGAGGGGGAAGCGGGGCTGGAGTGGGTGGAAAGCATGCAGGAGAGGGGGAAGCGGGGCTGGAGTGAGTGGAAAGCATGCAGGAGAGGGGGAAGCGGGGCTGGAGTGGGTGGAAAGCATGCAGGAGAGGGGGAAGGGGGGCTGGAGTGAGTGGAAAGCATGCAGGAGAGGGGGAAGGGGGGCTGGAGTGGGTGGAAAGCATGCAGGAGAGGGGGCAGGGGGGCTGGAGTGGGTGGAAAGCATGCAGGAGAGGGGGAAGCGGGGCTGGAGTGAGTGGAAAGCATGCAGGAGAGGGGGAAGGGGGGCTGGAGTGGGTGGATTCGGCGGCAGTGAGAAAAAATGGCATATCCATACGACCGGGAATGCACCTGCAAAACTTGCGTGTTGATGCCTGCCCGTCTGAGTCGCGGAACCATCGCACTCATGGCGGGTTCACCAACAGTCAAGACGTAGCTCCGAAACACTGAGTCGGTGATGTCACCCAGGACCATCTTCTTGTGGGTCTTAGTAAGCACCCTCCGGCCAGCCAGGCATGCCTGTCACCGTGGAGAGGAGAGGGTTGGTATTGGGAGGGGGAGGGTTGTATGGTGAGTCCTTTTGGAGGGAGGAGGAGGGGGGGGGATTGGGGATGGATGCGAGGTGTAGGCGAAGAAGGGAAAGGCCACGAAGGGGGAATGGGTGTGGGGGAAAGGGGGAGAGGTTGTGGGGACGAAGAAGGGGATGGGGGGGTAGGAATCGATTACTTTGGTTAGGTTGGTCCGAAATGTGATTGCCAACTCATGCAGAGAGCATGGAAACAGAAATGCGGGCAAAGAGACGAGCGAACAGAACGTGGCACAGAGCAGGGCAGACACAGAAGTGAACAAATCAGGGAAACGGTGAAGGGAACAGAGCGGGGCACAGAGCAGGGCAGACACAGAAGTGAACAAATCAAGTAAACAGTGAAGGGAACAGAGCGGGGCACAGAGCAGGGCAGACACAGAAGTGACAAATCTGGGAAAAAGTGAAGGGAACAGAGCGGGGCACATAGCAAGGCAGACACAGAAGTGAACAAATCAGGGAAACAGTGAAGGGAACAGAGCGGGGCACATAGCAGGGCAGACACAGAAGTGAACAAATCAGGGAAACAGTGAAGGGAACAGAGCGGGGCACAGAGCAGGGCAGACACAGAAGTGAACAAATCCGGGAAACGGTGAAGGGAACTGAGCAGGGCAGACACAGAACGGAACATGGCAGGGTAACAGTGCAGGGAACAGAGCAGGAAAACAGAACAGAGCACCGAGTAGGGGAGACACAGCATGGAACATAGCAGGGTAACAAAGCGGATAACAAAGAAGGGGAAATGAAGAGGGGAACAAAGCAGTGTGAGAGAGCAAGAGAGCCGAGCAGGGAAAATGAGCAGGGGGGGAGAGCATGAGACCTGAGCAGCGAAACAGAGCAGGAAAGAGCATGAGAACCGAGCAGGGAAACAGGGCAGGGGAGAGAGCATGAGAACCGAGCAGGGAAACAGGGCAGGGGAGAGAGCATGAGAACCGAGCAGGGAAACAGGGCAGGGGAGAAAGCATGAGAACCGGGCTCGGGCAAACTGAACATGGCACAGAGCAGGGCAGACACAGAAGGGAGCATAGCAGGGAAACTGAAGGGAATACAACAGGGCACAAAGCAGGGCAGACACAGAACGGAACATGGCAGAGGATAACAGTGCAGGGAACAGAGCGGGGAAGACACAGTAGAGAACACAGCTGGGAAACAGAGCAGATAACAAAGAAGGGGAAATGACTAGAGGAACAGAGCAGGGGGAGGGAGAAGGAGAACCGAGCAGGGAAACAGATCAGGGGGAGAGAACAAGAGTACCGTGCCGGGAAACAGAGCAGGGGGAGAGAGCAAGAGAACCGAGCAGGGAAACAGAGCAGCGGAACAGAGGAGGGGAACCGAGCAAGAGAACAGAGCATGGCATCACTTCAGGAGATCACAGCATGGGATTAAAATAGGGAAACTTGGCAGACGACGGGGTGCAGGGGAACAGAGCAGGTTCGTAAAACTCACCTCTTTCATCGAGGTCTCGTACGTGCTGTCCCCTCCGGCCTCCCGCGCGAGTTGCATAACTACCGCATGCTCCAGGTGTTTCCGGACGATTCGATCTTCAACATTCTTCCTGTTCGTGCCACGTGAAGGACGCTTCACAGTGGTCTTGTGGGAGTGCTCGTAGCAGTTCGACGAGTACTCGGCAGGTGTTAGGGTTGGTTCGCCCAACCACGGAACCTATGGCAAAAGTCTCTACGACGGCGGAATGACGGCGAAATGGAAGAGCGTGGATGATTCTAGGTGAAACGGTGGAAATCGGCCTACGGCGTGAGAAGGGAGAGAGAAATCGAGAAGGAATGTGTGAGAAGGTGGAAGAAGCATCGAGATTGAAGTTGGCGAGGGGAAATTGTGGTTCGAGCTCGAGGCATGTTCGAGAAGGTTCCAGATTCGGTCTTGAGGAGTGTTCACCGAATTCGGTTCGGCTGCGTGTGCGACTCAGGGTGAAACGAAGCACACGCGGCTACTTGGGAAACAGGTGAAGTTACGAATCGCATTTTGTACCTTGGTTGACTATAAAACTGCTTGTACTCATTCTGGAAATCACAACATTAAAACCAATCAGATTCAGAAAATTGCTGAAGTGTGTATTAACAACTTCAAGCAGAGCTGCGCATATCGTTGGATTCGGGAGATCGTGGAGAACACGATAGGCGATAGCAAGTAGACTATTGCCGACTAAGGAGCTTACAATCCTAAGAGCAGGGATCCCCCTCATACGGATGGTTGATGGGAGGTGAACAAGAAGATGAATCTTAACAATTTTCCACTTCGACTTCTGCTTAGGGAAAGCGACACGAAGAGCCTTCACCATCCTGAAGAAAATTTAGATACAACGCATGCAGTTAAGAGGGGGAATGCAGACCAAGAAGGGAGAAACGGGATGCGGGAGGGGGAGTGAGGAAGCAGACAGCGAAAACAGAAACACGGAAGGAGGGAGCAGGGAGGTGGGTTATGGAGGAACAGCGATGCAGTGCAGAGGGAGAAGATGGGTCAGGCAAAACCACGATGGAAGGAGGGCAGCCAAAGGCCACGGAGTACGATGGAGCCTGGGGAGGGAAATCATCGCACAAAAGGGAGAAACAGGCGAGTACGAAGGTGAAGCTGGTAGGGAACTGAGCAGCAAGCTTGGTATTGTACAAACGGGAAACACAGAAGCCTATGAAGTCAAGCCTATGAAGGAGGGTGGGAGGAGCATTTAGGGTACAGGCGCGACAATGAAAATGTGCGTACGTGGCAATGAAGGGCCTGGGAAACCACATAACAGACGGAGTAATTACTTGATGGTGGCGTCTTTCATCCGTTCCAGAGAGTCGTCGGTGTGGTACTCAGCGCGGATGAACGCCTTGTACCACTCGACCATCTTGACAATGGCCGTGAGGATATCTTCTCGTCCTAGGAGGTTGATGATGAGGGGCAGGACCTGCATATCGCCCGATGCTCTGCAGCTGAAAAGCAGGCAGTGGATGTGAAGTAGGCCCACGCCAAAGGAAGACGTAGCACAGAAGCTGGTGTGGCCTCCTTCAAAATCTTGTATCGCCTAGGCGTGAGTAACAGTTCGTTAGAGCACGGAAAGCAAGCACGGAGGGGAGTAGCATGAAGCATGGCACGGAAAGCAAGCACGGAGGGGAGTAGCATGAAGCAGGGCGCGGAAAGCATGCACGGAGGGGAGTAGCATGAAGCAGGGCGCGGAAAGCAAGCACGGAGGGGAGTAGCATGAAGCAAGGCGCGGAAAGCAAGCACGGAGGGGAGTAGCATGAAGCAGGGCGCGAAGAGCAAGCACGGAGGGGAGTAGCATGAAGCAGGGCGCGGAACAACTCACTCCAGAAGAATCTTCCGTTCCTTCGGGGTCAGCTTCTTCACCAGGCACTTCATGGCATGCAGCCATAAGCCTTGCTCCCAGATGTGCATGATGTCCGGGGGCACAGCAAGGTACATGTTGCCCCAGAGAGTTTTTGCGAATTCTCAGTCCCACAAAAGGCTCTACGTCGGGGGTCAAGGACACAAACTCACTATGGCGGGTCAGGATAATAAATACAAACAGCAAGATGCGGATCGGAGTAGGTTTTCGGGCACACTAGCCACAGCAGTATATGGTGGATACGGAGGGAAACCATATGAGAACCACAAGGATGCATGCGGAGCAAGCTGGGCAAGGCGCACCTTCACAAAGTGTGTAGAGGACTTCTTCTTCACCGCCTTCAGCTCCTTTTTGGTCTTCGCGGCTTTCATCTCCTTGTGAAAATCCTTCTGACCCTTGACAGTTCTAAGGACAATGGTGTCTTCCTGCTTCTTTTTGGTTTCCACAGATTCCTTCCGACCCTCGACATTTCTGGGGACAATGGTCTTGTCCTGCTCATCCAAGCGCTTCTTATCAGTTGGCTGTTGAGTCAACTCAAAGTTCATCTCATCCAGGCCCTCCTTTTCAGCCAAGCACAGCGAGCACGGATGGTGTGAGTTGCATGCCATCGTACAGGTGATCTTAGAAGAATCCGGGTGATCGGCCACCCATGAATAAAGGAGCTTGAATGCTTTATACTGCACGCCGGCACTGTCTTCCACCATCACACCGCCCCTGCACAGCCGCCAGGATGAGGGGTAAAGCAGGGGGGGGTATGGCAAGGATGGGAGACCATGTTAGATATGTCACTGATGGTGTGAGCATGGGTTGCTGTAAGCAAGCAGATGAAGGACGGTTAGGAGGAGGGGGACAGCAAGCAGGGATGGTTTCAACGGCAGGAGACGGTGGTACGAGAGGAACCCGAATGGTATTAGGTGAAGCATGGTGGCTGGGAGCAGAGTACTTTCGACTGAATCCGGCGTCGTGGCACGCATGCGAAAGAAGAATAGAGGAGAAGGGGGGTCAAAAAGGGAGGGGAGTGTGTATTAGACAGGCAATAAAAATAAGTAGGGTAGTGTGGTGGATTCTGGAGAGTACAAGGGATGCGCGCCTTTGGGCGAGAGTAGTAGTGTCTCACCCTGAAAGATGTGAAGCCGCCTTTAAATCTCGAATCATGATCTCTGCAGCGTACTGGAACACTCGAACCTTCTCTTCTAGCGAGAGGTCAGCTGGGATGTTAGGCAGGAGCCCGAGAAGCTCAGTGCCTCCTTCAAGCCACCTAGCCCATTCAGGAATGTTCCCAAAGGACAACAGAAATGGGTGGGCGGATTGGTGCCCATTGTACGATAGATTGGTCTGGTCCAAGAACAAAATGAGAGCTATAACTATGCCAAACTTCCGCACCCTTTCCTGCCACAGTGATGATAAAGGGAAGGAAAGACGTATTGGATCCTAGGTTTCAATGCTCGTGTCCAACGTGACATGAGATGGCATGGAACTTACCCAAGCCTTGAGCATCCAATCTATGTTTGCAGAGGTACTGTAGCGGCGAACCCCATCAACCTTCCACTCTTGAGGCATGATGCTGAATCCCTTGACAGCCGACATCTTCTTGAACATAGACTGAAGGAGCTGATGGTGATAAGGATGGCAACAATGATGGAAAACAGAAGCGTAGGATTGATGGTTCCGTTTGGATTGATGGTTTAGTTGGTCTCATAAAACACATTCCACTGTGACAAACGTGACCCCGCACGCATGGATACACTCACAGTTATCGCGTTTCGGCGCTTGAAGGTGAGAAACCCAACCTCGTGATCCACTTCGATCTCCTCGATGATCCATTCATTATTTGCTCCAAGGTCAAAGCTGTTCTCGTACTTCTCCAGGTCCCTGTAGCTGTTCCAATCTTCCAGCTGCTTTGGATCTAATTTTGGGTGTCTAACTAACTGTATTGTGTCGTTTATCGCCCTGTTGGTAAGACCGTGAGATCGTGCCTTAACATCAAGAATTTCCTCTCTAAGAGCTTCTTCCACCACGAGTGTGGTGCTACACGTACGAACCGCATCAGGAACTCGCTCTGCCGGCTGCGGGTGCTGCTCTACTGCGTTAGGAAGTGCCGCTATGGGAATTGAATGCGTTGGCGTGGGAATGGTGGCTGTTGCTAACGGAACAAAGGTATACTGCTTCTCCACGCCACGGTCTAGCTTCTTACGCTTAGTATCCTCTTCAGCCTTGCGTTTTTGGGCTGGCTTACAGCCGTCATGGTTAGCTTGATGGCTACTTACGTATTGATAGTAGTACACGCGCTTATTGCAGAACTCACAAGCCTGAGCCTCCATCGAGCAAATCTGTCCGTAAGAATGAAAGGGTGTTTGGCACACCAGTTTGATATGTGAATGCCAACACTGTACCAGAATGAGATAGCGCCTGTCGAATGGACGATAGTTTACGAGGGAAGGGTTGGGCGCAAATACAAATTGGCGATCTGAGTCTGAACATCTGTTTCCATTGACCCTGATTGGCGATTAGTTATCGGGTGTCGGTAGTTGGTATGCAATTGGTTAGGGTTTGTGACGTCCCGCTCGAATTAAGGTCACCCAGTTTGTTGGTGCGTGACCACGCGCAGTTGGGCGAGTGGGCCATGCGACTCTCATACTCCGCATCTTGTAACTGTTGTCGCGTACAAAAACAGCTCTCTTGTCGCAGCAACCTGACAAAGTTTTGTACCGAGCTGGGAACATTTCCACTTGCGACATGGACCCAACATCGATTTCGCCTACACGCCAATTGTGTCAGAAATACACAAGCCGCTCGAATGTCATTGGAGCAGAGAATCCTGTCAGACTTCTCCACACTGTTCACCATGTTGACAGGATATCACGAGCACGCTATTTGCTGACGACGTATGGGAGCAGGGATTTTGGCACAAAGTTGACCAACGAAAAGCAAGGGTGTGAGGGTCCTACTTCAGGAACTGCAGTACCTGCTTCGACTTTGCGTTGAGCTGCCTGGGCAACGGAATTTCGA